AGGGAAAACTCTTGGCTTTGATCTATCCTTAAGGCCAGCTGAAGGAACCAAATCGAGATATTTAACACAAAGGCCAAGGTTATCTTTTTTGGACTGATTCCAAAGGGCAGAAAGTGGACAAGATTCATATTTTATCATACTGCCTGTAATTAGACCAAAGTAAACCACTATGATGGTTGCTTTCCTAATTTTAGGTATGATACAAGGTCTGTAGTATTAAAATGGTTTATTTTTTGTCATCATGCTGCATAAGCACGCGTCAGACTCCCAGGTTCATGCCCCTCCATATTCATAAGTGGAGGATTGATCCAAGAAGCTTTAATAGGCATCCACTTCAGAGCACGGGAAAATGTGGGTATGATAAAGGCAAATATTCCAAATTTCTTTCAAAAGATGATATGCGCGTTGGTCTGGAATTGAGTTTGTGTTGAGTGACTACCTTTCCTCCAGTGGGAAAAGTTTGAACAGTGCTTTGCACACGCAAACAATCACATTAAAAATGGAACTTCATTGCACACCAACTATAAACCATTTATTTTATTTTTAAAATTCTTTTGCAGATATATTCTCATATATGGAGCGTAATTTCATCATAAAACTCCTAGGTTATTGTGAGCTGGGGAGGTTTCATGTTTTAAATAAAAAGTCAGAAAAACGCCTATAAATTTAAACTAGCTATTATAACACGTTAGGATAAATGCTGTCATTGTCTAAGATAATGGGTAAATAAATATATCACAACACAGCCTCAAATTTTAAGTAGAATTTCGGCCTTGAAGCAATTTGTTTATGTGGTTATCGTTGCACCGCTAATATAAAAATGGTTAGAGTTAAGATTATTCACTTAGACAAGAATGGCTTCTGTTTGGGGTTTTTTGACGGTACTTGGGGCCGCCCTAATTCATCTTTCGCTCGGTTACAACTACACAGTTGGTAACATGAATGCATATTTGATACCATACATGGGTGTTACCTCTGGCCAAACTGTGTGGATTCATGCGGTGGTTATCTCTGGACAAGCTATTGGAATGCCAATAGGTGGCATGCTCACAGCAAAAATCGGTTTCCGCATTGTCGTCGCCATCGGCTGTCTTTTAACCAGGTAATTTAAGGTGGTACCTAGATAATTTATTCTTCAATATACTGATTATTCTGTTACGTGTTTGCAGTGGCGGAATTGCATTGTCCGCGTTGACAGTGCGACATGGTCTCGGTCCTTTTATATTCACCTATGCCGTCATGTTTGGAATTGGAATGGGCCTTCCATACTCCGTACTGTTTACACTGGCTGCAGATGTAAGATGGCAGAATGAACAACGATTTTGAATTTATTTCATGCTGAATTTTTTAATCATTAAGATGTTTTACCCTAGTGGTTCCCAAAGCATCGCGCTGTCGTAACTGGAATAATTCTTGGTGGTCTGGGAATGGGCGCGCTTGTCTTTACGCCAACACAAACAGCATTGATCAATCCCGAAAACAAACCGAACTTCGAGTACGGCATGGTTTTATTTATCTCCTTTATGACCGTGGTTTTATATAGTATAATTTTTATGCTTTTAGTCCATCGGTGAAAGCCCGTGTTCCCAATTCATTCCTTATTCTTGCAGCAGTCATGTTTGGTCTTCAAATAATTGGATATTGCCTGATACGCAAATGCCCTTCATCCGTAAGTTTTCAGAAAACTAGTTAAACTTTACTAACGAACTTTCATTTAGGATGGTGATGGAACGGATATATTTTCAGAGTCGAAGGAGTTCGAACAGTAAGTGGTTTTGTGTATTGCAGTTTTCTGACTTCGCAAGGTCACTTAAATTAATTAGACAATTTTATTTTGCTTTAGTGAATACCAAGGTGAAACACAGAGGTATTTATTTTCGTGTTTGATGCCAAATTTTACAAAATAATTAGTAAACATTTTGCAATATTTATCAATGATTGCTTAACGCCGAGCAAAACATTTCTTCTTAATTACTTTAGTAAGGAAGATCCCGACTTCGAGTCAGAGGCAGCTGTGAATATAAAGGAGAGGTAGTACCCACTTGCAACTTAATAACTTAAAATGTTGCACAAGTACTGAAGGTACATTTCACGTTTATAGTGAAGTTCATGAAATTTACAACTATACGGTCAAGGAGGCTCTCAAATCAATTGACTTCTACACAATCGCACTGATTATCTTCTTTGATACTGTGCCCATCACTCTGCAATCGTCGGCTTACAAAGTAAGAATTCCCAAAACAAACATTTTCCCCAAAACTCGATGTTTCCATCATGAATACTGGCTCAAAATTAAATTTTTTTTTCTATAGTTGGCTCGATCAAAACACAATTAGCAATATGTATCTTTTAATGGGACCATTGTGTTGATGTGATTATAGGTGTTTGGCTCAGCTAACAATCTGGAGGACCGATTTCTCTCCACCATTGCCACATGTACAGCAATCTTCAATTGCAGCGGTCGTGTTATTTGGGGTCTTATCTGCGATCACGTATCGTTTAAGGTAGCTTCCTTACAAATGCTGCATTTTTTTGTATTGTCTGCCAATGTTCATAATTTGTGCAAAACCTTAGATACCTCTTGGATGTTTCCTGGTAATATGGGGTGTACTCTTTGGGACGTTCCCTGTGATTGCCAGAGCACCAACACACGTGTTCCAGGGCCTATACCCAGTTTGGGTATTTCTCCTCTTCTTCTCAATGGCCGGTCACTTTGTTCTCATGCCTGCCGCTTGTTCGCGCATTTTTGGTCCAAAGAATACAGCCACTACATACGGTCTCCTGTACTTCACTACCGTAAGCACATATACATTTACACGGGCAACCATTTTTAGAGTGTCAGATGATGACACATGTGAATCTTTGCTTTAGTGTCCCAGTGCACTCATCCTAGCTGCAATAGTGTCGGTACACGACATCAAGAACGACTTTCCATTGACCTTCTACTGTTGTTGTGGGTTGTGCCTTCTAAGTAAGTACTAATTATTTCTTTATACCACCTCAGAGGTACAAATGCTTCGATTTGATGCAACTTGCTCTCATTACCTATTTTACAGGCTTTGTGCTTTCGCTGTTCCTCAAAGACAAGTTTGGAAAGTTGAGCAATGTAACGCGCCTTTGCACGAATGCTTGCAATATTTGCCGATACGTGCCACCTGCTGTAAAGGACGTGGATGATAACGATGACGCTGAGGTTTCTGTAGTCAGTAACAACAGAATATATGATAATTAACCGATCTGCACATACTTCATTGCATTCAATAAAAACATTTTCAAAAATCCCTTTTATTCATTGCTTAGTGACGTTGAAGTTTGAACAAAGGCCTAAAAAGTGATACGCAGCATCCCCACAAATTCGATAAAATATACTGGTTCGGTTCGTTTTTCTCAGGATCTACTTGCCATGTCGACAAAGCCAAAAACCAATGTAAGGCCCAAAACATTCCTGTTAAAATGGATATGAAATATAAATTAAATGCTAAAATGTAATTAAACTACTGGCATCACAAAAATTAGGAAAAGCATCTTTTTTGGTGTCGCTAAAGGCTAGACTAAGGTTGCCAAATTACAAATACAGGTCTTAATTGGTACTTAAAAAGGTCCTACTCAACCTCACTCTTCTGCTAACTATTTATTTTGCCAACTCACATTTAGTTGGAATCCTAGAAGCGCTTTTTCCAAAAATGATAGCATGTAATTCCGGACCTACTAGTGATGCCAAGAAAGAGCGCTACCCAAAGTACAGATGCATTGTGACGAAGACTGACACAAAGGGTTAAGAACCTTTGTGAATTCGATCAGAGTGGATCTTACGTCACTGAATGCCTGCCAAGCTGATATTTAAGAGGCTTCCTGTCTAAGCTGCATGGAATTAACTATATTTGATTTAAAATGTTTTACTGCCTTTATAAACTGCAATGCACATTCTAAAATATAATGGCGAAAATAAAAGTGCGTATATGTTATGGGTTTAGGTTAAACTAAACAAAAACATTTGAGTTGTTTGAATAGTTCGCGTAGATTTATCAGGCAAAACCCTAAATTGGTGACTCATATTGAATCTTAGTAGCATATTACCGGTACTTTAGAAGACATAACGCCTGGAAAGTTTGCTGTAAAACTTTGCCTTTGTTTTCCTGGGGTTTTGAGAGATCGTTTTCACGTGCATAGTTCCAAACAACAGGACGCTTAAGTACCGAATGTTTGATCACCCTTCCTTAAAAAATTATTTTGCGAACCTATCATGACTCCGAAGTAAAAATCTCACTGACTGAGATGAGTTCAGCAAGAGTGGCCAATCACCTAAGGTAGGCTGCTTAAGTTTTACGCTCTGATCTCTTCGAAACATAAATGACACTCATTTTGTCTCAGTCTCATTATGTGTGTTTTTATGGATAATTCCATCCTAATATCGAAAACCACTTTTTCAGTTATAAGTATGCCGGCAACCCGCCCCCTTTTGCGGTTAACCACTTCTGCTCCCGTGATTGGTTGGAGGACAACACCATGTACCCGTGACAATTTGGAAATTCCTGGTGAAGCGAATCTCACGATAGTTTTAGCGCAACATTTTAGCTACCATACTTATAATGTCTATACAATAGCAATGCTAGCTAGAAATTGCCATCACTTTACGAGTCTGTAGAATTTTTTATTTTAGCAGTTGAAATTTCGTAGCAGCAAAAAAATTCAGGTCATTTAACATTAATTTCTAAAAAAAGGCTTGAATGTAGCCGATTTAAAAATAAGTTACACGTGCAAAGATACCACTTTAAGGTCCCTTTG